CCCAAATAAAGGGACTTCTCCGAATACAGGGACAGTTGCGATATCCACTTCTCTGTCATGTCCGATCGCCAAGACCAAAGAAGGCCCCGCTCCACGTGGGAGCGCGGCGGACATGACGGACGTCGGCGCGGACCCCACAGCTTTGTGCACAGAGACTAAGGGTAGTCTAGCCTCTAGGCGTAAGCCTACATGTACAGCCAACAGAATCGTGCTTTTAAGGCGCACATCAATTAGACACTGGTTGTCATAGGGGTACAAACGTAAGAAAAGCGAAGGAGCGATACGTACTGATAATTTTCACCTTCATTTTTCCACTTGATTCTACGGAATACGATGTAGCCAGACGTCACTCAATGCCACTCCGGCATCACTGCCACTAAAAATACTGGGCCCATTCTAGTTTTGAACCCCAAGCCTAAAGGGCGCCACGATGGGACCTGACTATTGACGACTACCTTGAATTAATCGAATCTTCAGGAATCGATTAGTTTTTTCCATTACACGGTAACTCCGCATCACCAAACTTTACACTCTGTAATCACGACAAAACATACCACAGACTTGAAAATAATTCACGGCACCTTTCCAAAATGAATCAGAGTTTTTCAACACTGCTACATTCACGTCAACATAAGGCGCGTAGCTGGGGTTTGTTTGTCCTTTTCAAAATACATGTATATAGATCTTGACAGATTACTCGTCCCGTTTGGGTTAAATTATAGCTGTAAGTACAAAAGTGTGGGCAATGAAGACACCCAGTAGTTGATTTGGTAATACTTTAAAGAGGGTCGTATCTTTTAGTATTTAGCAGTATCTATTTTGTGACAACATCATGGAGTTTCTAAGCAACTGTTGATGCATCAATAGTTTCACTCACTTTTAACATAATTTTACTGTTCCAGTTTTGCCTTTATAATCATTACCTAAGCGCCTGAATTGATTGCATGCCACCCTTGCATTTTATCCCTTTCAAGGTTTTAATTTGGCTATGAAGACACTGGTAATATAACTGTTGGTTTGGACAGTATACGTATGTGGTACATTAGACCTATTCCATGCTTTATCAACCATTTTCATCCTCATATCACCAACGTTCCGACCTTGTCCAATAATCCAATTTGCTGTCCCAATTTTGCGTGTACCAGTTTCCCGGTTTCGCTTTTGATATCCCCCGTCCCATTTCAAACTGCCTCTATAAACCTATTCATGGGGGTAGGGTTGGATGTCGGCAGTTCAAAAGCGGAGCTGCCTGTTAATACCTTTAGAAACGTTTCACTCATAAGCCTATAAAGTTGGGCGCAGGAGTGACTAGCCGGCCCTGGCTTCTGGCGTCGTGCATTCCTTCTCAAAACAGGCAGATCCAAAACCAACTTAACACTTTCTAAGGGGGGGGGGTGGATTAAGGAATTCTTCGTGTAATTTTGTTGGCCTTTCCGAGCGGTGGTATACGTGAGGCTATAAAATATAGGCCCTTTTACACGCTTTGGAGGGGAAAGGAAACAAACACTCCCCTCTTTCGTAATGACAACCCCTGTAGGGACATGTTTGGCCCAACAGTTTGCAAGAGGGCGGGGGTCGTTTTCTGGTAGGGGCATTCAAATTTATTCTGCAACGGTTGACTACGGCGGGCTATAACGCCAAACTTTTTCCTGAACGGGGCACGCACGGACCGTGGGGTGGGTGGGGGAACAGGACTGGAGCGGGGGGCGTGGCCCATGCTTCCCCTTAATTCATGTAATTACGTTATTGCAGCTACTCCGTACTCCGCACAGGAGATTCAGCGGGTATGGGTATAATTAAAAATAAGGATTTTTGATAGACAATTAAAGTTTTTCCTATGTTTGAAACGAATCCCGGTTACCAAATTAACCGAATAACACAGCTCCGTCGGAATACCGCACTCTACAAAAATATCGATTGTGAAACGTTAATCATTCAACGCTCAAATTGCTATTTGACGTCTGGGAACTACACTTCATTCAACGGCGCAAAATCCACGATGACATCAGCGCCAAGCCTCATTCGATCGGAGGCAGGTTGCTTTGCGATTCACATGCTGCACGCTGCGCCGAAGCACATGGTCATCACTACACACAGCCTAGCGAGCTCAGTTCGTGCTTATGCGAATCAGTCAAGCTCAAAGGCCTGAGAGAGAAAGGAAAGGCCTTGCGACTAAATCGTCCGATTCATTGGTTTCGCCTGCCAACTGAAAATGGCTAACGAACTCCCTGACGGGCTGGGATCGGAGTCTACATGTATATCGGGCTCGTTCTCCAGTGAAATCACCCACTACCTGCTGGTTGTGGTTGGAGAGCCTCTCAGCCAAGAATACGTGGATCCAGCCCTTGCAGACGTGGAAAAAGGTAGGCGAAATAAGATTAGCCCAGGCTTCTTCTGCTACTGGCTATGGGCAATGATGGAATATTTAGGCCGAACTTTACTGCCCATATTGCAGTGATCCAGTGCAATCAATTTACATGTACACGTGCATTTTGAGAAGCTCTGCTCTTTAGAGGCCCCCATCCACATTTATTGTTGTAAACATTGTAAATGTGTGATATTTATTGTATGTTTTTATTGTATTATGTGGAAATAAACAAGATTGATTGATCTCTTGATTGATGTCTCATTCATGCAGACTAAATTTGTGTTAGTCCCTGACCTATCCATGACAGGCACAACCACAAAGCCTGTCGAGCACGTGTCCAATATCAGCAATGTACATGTACGTACCTGAAATACATGTTTTTGGTTTTTACCAGAAAGAGTTCCATGATATACGGACGCCACTTGACACCCCATGCCCAAACCCTGTGAAAGTGTGTTTTAAGTAAACGACTTGGATTTTCCCTCCTACCGGTAAATTGTACTTTTCTCAACATGTTTTTGCTTTCTGAAGGCTAGTACGGGTAGGCCACCGTAGGGAATAATTACTGGCGTGCGTAGATGGAACTTTTCCCTTTTTACCAGACGATAAAGATTGTCTGTAAATTCCACCTGAAGGCCCTATACAGTAAACAGTGAAAGCTGTAGACAAGTCCAATTGTGACAATACCGGGGGTAGCTCAAGCCCGCAGTCCCTACACGTATCAGGGGTATTGTCTGGAAATCAATTGTTGCCAAGAATTCATCGTGAGGTTGCATGCAGCATTTAAATGAATTGGATTTTAAGCTATCATCAGTATGTCTGTTCACTTGAATTGCCACTGTTTTTATGCCCCTGGTTTGGGCAAATTACGAGGCCCATTTAAAACTGCAGCACATACCCTGTACATTTATGATTCTTACCAATAAATAATTACATTTGAAAATAAAATCAGGGTGGGTTAATTCTGCTGAAATTATTAGTGAGTGACCAGCATAAAAAGTGACACAATGTATCAATTAAAAATGTTTTGTGAGAGTTTTGGGGTTGGGTCAGGTTACTTACATGTACATGTACATGTAGGTACATAACCGGAAACATCCATTTTTATGGTCTTACCGCTGGACCATAAGCATGTACTGTACAGGTAATATGCTTTACATTTATGTAAAGCATATTCTTGACTTATTGGAGTTCAAACCGTAAATTAAGTTGGGTTTTTTTATTTTTATGCTATACATTTCTTCAACACCCTTTTCTCTTCGCATCCTGAGGTCAAGAAATACCCGGTTTATGTACATTGTTGATACAGGTTTTGGCATTATGTCATTTGAATACTTTATCTTCATTAGCACCTTTGAGGTTGTAACAATTGATGTTGTTGTGTTGGGCTTGACAGTGTAAACTTTGAAAACAGTTCCTGCCAGGTTATTGACTTACTGGCTCACAGCATGCATGTAATAAGGTCATCCCTTGCCAGCCGAGGCTGGGAACCTGCAGACAGGAAGGTGAAAATTTGGTTGGCTGCCCCACCACGCGGTAGACTTCCCCCCTGGTGACCACAGAGGGGCGTGTGATCGGTATGTACGTGAACGCCAGGATCCATCTCGTTACTTTGTGGGCATCAGTTCAATTCGGTTCTGTCTGATTCCTGGCAAGGTTTGACAAACTGGCCCAATGCACTGTTCTTGAATTTACATGTGTACCATATACAGGTATTCCGCACAGGGTTTCCCCTGCCTACTCAACTGTGCAGTTGCCCATCTCACTGATTTTAGTGACCACCTCAGGGTTTTCTGTTGAATTTTACCACCTCAAACTTAAAATAGACTAAAATTGAAGGCAAAAGCGAAACAGAATACAAGCCTGATTTACATGTACATGTATTTGAGAGGGGAAATTGAAATGTACCGGTACTATTATACTACATGTATGATGTACATGTACCGGTATTTAGGCCTTTTCAAAACACTCACTTTTCTTCTAAGGTAACAATTTTGGCCAAAGTTTGGCCTCAAACATATCAGTACCCCAGGGGAACCCAGTAACCATATCATTTTTTTGCATAATAATGTACAGTTTTAACACTGATCAAGTGCCACCATGAACTAAACAACAGGACTTGCATGTACTACATGTAGGAGGGCGGCGGCAGCTGCACATGTACATATCAGTAGTTGGCTCCCCTAGTGAAGCCATCCACACCTTTTTGAAATGACAGTTTTTTCCCACATAACGTACATGTCAAAGTCTGAATTAACGATGCAGACTTGTACCAGTACATGCACATGCACAAGATTCTACCTGCGGAGAGCAGTGGTAAAAAACCCGGGCCAGTTTTACAATCTGCAGTCATGTACTTGTACATGTACAGTCCCCGGACAACCAACCTTTGGAGTGATTCTGTGATTCTACAATGTGGAGAAGCCCGTTGGTGTTGCACGAAGAATGTTTTGAAGGTTTCGAAAGGAAAATTGAAGGAATATCTACTGCTGCCGAACGTTACATTTTTTGAAAAACTTGAGAAACTATATTAAGAGAAAATAAAATCACATTAATTTTATAAATTTATGTTAAATCTGGTCAGAATCATCAGATAATGTTGTATTTAAAAAAGTGCAGAAATGGATGAGAAAACAACTACTGACTTCTGGAAAGCTCTTGGTTCAATAGAACTACATATATGTACATGTATTGGTAGCCTCAATTGAATTTTGAAGCAACGCTGGCTTCACCTTTAGAGCCAAAAGTGAAGGGAATTACCTTCTGAGGCTATCGCAAATTCCACATTTCAACTTCAATAGTCCGGTTCTCTCGGTAAAATAAATAACAAATTAACATCCACTACAATAATCGCATATGTACCAAAACGGGTTTGTCCCATTTTCACCTCTCAAGATATTAGTTATAACTGCAAGCTAGACATGTACATGTAGCATTTCTGAAAGACAAGCACAGGTGCTGTGATACACAACTTAAGGTGTCACTGAACAGTTGCATAGATGTGTGTCTTACCAGTACAAGTACATTCGACCTGCATGTACGAGTACATTGTGCAAGTTCCTGAGAATTGCCCGGGACCAGATCACAGTGGCATAGGGCAGGGCAGTTTTGAGGGAACAGGTTTTGCGGTGAAATGTACATGTATGTACAGTATACATGCGTGTACTGGTAGTCTGGAACCATACATGTACACTGTACATGTACCTGTGCATCCTGTTTCAAATGTTCATAAAAAATCATAAACACAAACTGCAGTTCAGTGTGCAAATAAATGAATGTGTGTACACATGCACTTCGGGTGAAAATTCAAGTCTGCAGCCAGAAGGCAGATGACCTTACATGTACTTAAATTCATGCCCCAGAATACTCTGAAGTCTGAGTTTTCTGTTGGTTCAATGGAGGAAGTGAACAAAGGAAACATTCAACCTTCGTGTTTGCTCAAGCTTGTAACTGACAGCACTTGGCCTACTTGTGCGTATGGGATATGGGAGGGGTCCCGGTCGCCGAGGCTAATTATGAGCAGACAGTCTGGTACACGGGCCGACTTTCAAACCTCAAAATGGTAATCTACATGTATTGCTAGGCAGTGTTTTGAGAAGGGTTGAAGTTTTGAAAAAGGTTGTACAGTATTCACACTATCAATCAGGCATATTGTTTGAACATGTGCCTCAGTTGTGTAAAAATACAGTTCTACAGATACATGTACATGCAGTACTCTCCATACGTGGGCGATGGCTAATAACAGGTCTGGTGCCTCGCGCCTTGGCCTTGTCCTAGATACCATGTATGTACATGTACTCGAGCACTGCTTCCTGTTGAGGTTTCTAATTTACAAATTCCAGTTTTAAAGGGACATCACGCTCTTAAATTTTTGAAAAATTGAGGCACCGGTGCATACATGTACTGGTACGTGTAAAGAAATCCATTGTATGTACATGTACATGTACATATCTGATGATGTAAGATGCAGTTACAGTGAACATTTCCTATGAAGATGATACTGGGTCATCAGACCATCAATGAAGCATGCTCAGTGGGCCAGTCAGATAAATGCAAGCTGAAGTCAGAAACATTCAAAATAAATGAACTCTGTTGCACACATCAAGTGATGGTTTCTGGGCCATCTTCATGAACTATGCAAAGAAAATATTGAAAACCGAATGTTACATATGTACATGTACATGCAGTGCTGGTACTGGAGGTTTTATACAAGTACTTGTTTACCGGTACATGTATGTATTGGTAGTTTACATGTACAATACATACATGTAGTGCTGTTTTTAACTGTAAAAGGTGAGGAGGGGGTGCACTCGGCTCCTTCTACACTTTCCTTTATGGTCAATTTGACACCAATTTTGTGAGAATCGAACAAACAATGTACATGTACACATAGCACCCATTTCACCAAGCCAGGTCAGCCAAAGAGAAATGTACATGTTCAATGCATGGGAAAGCATGCAGGCTGGCACACATGTTAACCGTCCACTTTAAATGACTGTGAACTACAAAATGTAACATGCACATGTATGTCAGATTGAGTTGATACTCAGCATTTGTACTGGTAAGCAGTGTTTTTACATGCATGGGCATACATGTACCGGGTAGGATAGCCGCGTTCTAGGGGAGGGAGTGCAGATCCTTCCCTGAGATTGTCCAAATAACCTGGTTCTTTTAAAGTTACGTGTAAGTGTTTTTTTTTAGTTTTAACTTTAACATGGTTGTTGCATTGTACTGTTCACACACATGTAGGCCTGTATACTGATACACCATACATGTACCGGTACACGCAAAAACTTGCTTTACATTGATGAGACAAGACCAACAGCTGCTCAAATCCACTTCCAAGAATTTAAAACAAAATTCTCCTTATCTCTCTGTCCGCTTGACCTGTGCCCCATCCCTTGTATTTTTGATATCAACGTGTAGTTCATGTCACCCATCTTAACATTCCCCAAATAGTTTGTATGTGTAAAGAGCATGCCAAGAGAGGCACAT